ATTATAGGCATTACGAAACATTATATTTCACACCACAGTTTTCACGTTTCCACAGCTATTAACTAAGTACTGTTTAATAGAGACTGTTGTTGGATAAATTTTATATTGATATGACACTAATATGCTTCTCATAAAGTAGTTATCTATTAAAACTACGTTGTGTAGTTTACTGTAAGTTATAACCTTTTACCTTGAAATTGTCTTTGCCTTTGGCTCGTTTATATCCAGATTCAGTATATTATATGAATATAAATATGATCGTGCATGGGAATTCGACGATCCAAATTTCGGATTTTCAGAGCCGTGCACCAAGAAAAATACATTAACTAAACTAGCAAGAATGTCTAAAGTTAGACACAATGCAAAATCCATAAAAAAACAGGTACAATTCGTTGAAAATTTTAACGAAATTGTTTGAAATATTTTGCCCACTCCACGAAAGGCCGCCATTTTGATATTAGGCAGCTCATTAATATTCTATTTTGTGGCTATCGAAGAAAATTGGAGATCCGCTATTGCTGATCCACTATTGCTGATCCACTAAAAATGCGTGCCGAAACCTATACTCGCCCGGGCACAGAGTGCCCCAGCGAGTAATTAGCTGTATATATATATATATATATATATAAATATCACTAGCCTCCCAAAAAACTTCATTTATATAAAGCTTCAAAGAAAATAAATTTTATTAAACTTTAAATGAATAAATACATGTTGTAAAGATAAAGATACGTTTCGGGGCACAGCCCCTTCGTCAGAAACGAGATAAGTTCAAATCCATGTCCTTAAATACCTTTGGCCTAATCCTAATTAACATACACTAATAATATATATAGACTTGCATTAATATTCCTCCCTCAAATTTAATCCCAGTGGTACATATGTATTCAATTTTTCAATCCAAAAACTTTCCCTCTCTGTAGGTTTATTAACATCAGTGATATCAATAATCTGTGCTTTAAAATCATTAAGACCCGAATGGCCCTCCTCAAAAAAATGTTCATACAAATGTTGACCACATAAACTTCTTTGGCCCTTAGAAAATCTATTAAGCGAACTCTTGTGGTTATTAAATCTAAGGCGAAATGACGTTACCGTATTGCCCACGTTGTACTGTACAGTACAACGGCGCACGTTTCACATTAACCATCACTTTGATTGTAACTCTCAAGGGGTGGTTTATTTAATTACTTGCGGAAAATGTAATAAACAATACGTGGGCAATACGGTAACGTCATTTCGTCTTAGATTTAATAACCACAAGAGTTCGCTTAATAGATTTTCTAAGGGCCAAAGAGGTTTATGTGGTCAACATTTGTATGAACATTTTTTTGAGGAGGGCCATTCGGGTCTTAATGATTTTAAAGCACAGATTATTGATATCACGGATGTTAATAAACCTACAGAGAGGGAAAGTTTTTGGATTGAAAATTTGAGGGAGGAATATTAATGCAAGTCTATATATATTATTAGTGTATGTTAATTAGGATTAGGCCAAAGGTATTTAAGGACATGGATTTGAACTTATCTCGTTTCTGACGAAGGGGCTGTGCCCCGAAACGTATCTTTATCTTTACAACATGTATTTATTCATTTAAAGTTTAATAAAATTTATTTTCTTTGAAGCTTTATATATATATATATATATATATAACAAAGTTTTGTTATTGCAGTAGATTAAAGAGTGCTCAATACAAAAATTTGTAGAGCAATATTTATTTAATCTTAAAAATGGTACATGTTGCTACTCAGAGTTTCATGCATTTCGCAATCTTCAGGCAACTGTTATTACAAGTAAGTTCAGTTTTGTTTGTTGACGCTACTCACTAACGGTTTGCTGACGCATGCGCTCGTTGGTCGCGCACCCTCTCAAATTTTCCCGCGTGGAATTTCTCTGCGTGGCGGCACTTCGCGAATATTTCCGATCTTCTATTAAGGGTTCTATTTGCCTTTAAAAGGCACAGTTTTTCTTCGGTGCACAAACTGCAGTGTTTTCCACCTGCTGAATACGATGAAGCTCGTTTTACGATTGACCACTTGATTTCGTAATCTTTCCCAGCGTTCTTTAATTTCCACACATATTTAGAAAGTTCCGTGTCATATTCATATCTTTTGTGCTTAAACGATTTTATATGGTTTCGATATCTAACTTTGAATTCATTCGCCGTCATACCGATGTATTCCTTCGTATCACAATCTTCCTTTGTTCTTATCACTGCCTTGTAGACTATACCTTTCGTTAAACACTTTTTCTGGAGTGGGCATTCACTAGGGATTCGGCAATCACACAATTTGCTTGGGTTTTCCATTGGCTCAGCTTTCGCCAAGATGCGCTTGTTGTGTCTGGAAATGGAACTTTTAACATTTTCCATGCAGCTGTAACTGACCTTAATGGAGTTACGGTTGAAAATCTTGTGAAAGGGATTTGCCTTCGGAAAGTGCTTGTCAATTAGTCGTAGAAAGTCCCGGGCAATGTTTGAACGTACATATTTGCTAAAAGGAGGGTTAAACCAGATGATGTTTCTTTGACGTTTCCGCTTTTGGGTTGTAGTTGATGGAGGGTAATCAGGGGAATATTCAAGGTTGCCGTTGTAATTACTCTTATGCAGAGCTTCTTCATACACGTTGGCCACGGAGTCAAAGGCTTGTTTACTAGATGACAGAGACGAGATTCTTCGGTTAATTGATGCCGGTAGATGTTTAGTAATGGAGGGTGGGTGATTTGAGCGTTTGTCTATATATATTGGATTATTGTCCGGTTTCATGTATGGCGAGTAACTGCCATCTTTAAGGTTAAAGGTTACATCCAGGAAGTTTACCAGTTGGTGATTTACTTCGGCTGTGATTCTCAAACCGAATTGAAGAAATTGGGCACAAAGGTCTTTCTTTGCTTTGTCTGCTAATCTACCGCTGGTGCTTTGAATTAATACCAAACCATCATCACGGTACAATCCGATGTTTTCTTTACCAAATTTCTGAGCGAGTGTATTTAATGCAAATAAACCAATCAGTTCACACACTTCAGCTCCGTCAAAGCTTCCCATAGCGACGTCAAACATAGAGTTGTGGTTTCTTTTCACCCATGGTTTATTTGCATTAAATAATAAAGACTTTCTAACTAACTAACTAACTAACTTTCTTTTTAACTAACCCTGGGTTAACGATTTTAACCAGCTTTTGAACAACCGACCCCTGGAATACAAAGACACAGTGATTGCGTATAAGTGTCTAAATAAGCTTGCGCCACCATACCTTTGTGATACGTTTGTCAAGAGGTCGGAGTTACATAGCCGCCAAACTCGCAACAATAACCAGCTAGATATCCCGCTATTCCATACTGC